ATTTTGGGGCTTCGATGAGATCAGTTTGGACTCTCTCGACCTTCTCTTGGGGCCCGAGCCATCCCGCCATACAATCTGAAGCAGGGAAAGAAAAGCTGCCCAACTCATTGAAGCTTAACTGGTGTCCTAATTGTCCAGATCTGTCGGGGGCCTCTCTTGGATGCTCCACAGCCAGATTGGAGAAATTGTTGCGCCATGTTCGAGGCTCGTTGGGGCGATCAATACAGGGCCGTCTTGGTCAATTTCATTTTGGATCGTTGGGCTGGGAGCGAAGCCCCATATATTTCAGCAGGGGCCCTGCTCCAGGTTGCGAGGACGACAGATTGTACCGAGGCATCGTGGCCCTGGGAATCAGGGTTTCTAGGACTGTACCAGGGGTCGTGTCCCTTGGGACGCATAGCCTGGGGAGCTCACAAGGGATCGTAGCCCCTGGAGCGAGTCTCCTCCGTATCTAGTCAGGGGTTCGTGGGAACCAGGTATCTTGGTAATCTGGGAACCACCGAAGGTGGCCAGGGCCAGAAGATTGATGTGCTTCGGGGCAGGGCTTGTTTCCAGCTGCTCGTACATTGGAGGGATGCTGGAGCTCTTTTATTCCAGCCCAAAGAAGGAGGCCGTGTATCTCAGCGGGCGCAAAGGTTTCGTGAAACTCGCACTGCGAGAGGGGGCCGACCTCATCCCGACCTACCTATTTGGCAACACAACTGTTTTGTCCACGCTTGACTGGAGCCCTCTGGTGGCACTGAGTCGCACCTTGGGCGTCTCTGTCACCCTGTTCTGGGGTCGGTGGTGGTTACCGGTGCCAAAGCCAGTCAAGCTTGTGTACGCTCGCGGTCGCCCGCTTGGCCTGCCCCACATTCCAAACCCTACCCCAGAAGATGTCGACAAGTGGCATGCAGAGTATTGCGAGAGGTTGCTGGAGCTGTTTGACAGCTACAAGTGGGCGAACCCTGACTATAAGCACAAGAAGCTCGAGATCGTGTGAGCCCCCGGTCCGCTCGCGAAGGCATTGGGACAGTGGCTCTGAGGAGCAGAGAGAGGGATGAGTGGGGGCGTCTCGTCTGGCCAGCCTCGTCGGCTGCAGCCCCGCCAAGAGGCCCGTGCTCATAAGCGGCTGCCGGCGCACCTTCCCCCTCCTCCTTCTCCGCCTGGTCCCCTTCCCATCAGTTGGGAGGTTGGGAAGCCTTCTGCTTGGCGGTGGCGGAGGTGGCTCCGCTGTGCGCCACCCGCATGGCAGAGGGGCGGGCGGCAGCTGCAGCCAACTGGGGCCCGAGGGGGGCCTCCGTGCTGCACGGCTCGGCGGCGCCAGCGCCCGTGCCTCCTCCCGTGAGGCGTCCGGGCTGCCGCAGCAGGCGGTGGGCGATCGCTTCTCGAGGGGAGGGCGTCACGGTCGGCCTGACACGGGGGAGGGGGGAGGTGCTTTGCCGCCATGGGCGGCTTCGCTCCTCTCTCGCTCTCCCTTCCCACCGAGCAAGGTGCGTGGGCGTTGCGAAGCTGTGTCCGTGCCTCCTCTTCCTCGCCCCCTTTTGCGACGAGACCTCGCGGCTCTCCGGGGTGCGTTCGCCTTTGTCCTTTCTGCGGTCTGGGGTGCGAGAGCGCGTGCGTGATTTGGGAGCGTTGATTGTGGTCTGACGTTGTTTGGCAAGCGTTCTAGAGTTTTGCGTGGGACTTCGTCCAGCGTGGATCTCTCACCCGTGTGATTCCTGTCCCACCGAAGGTCAGGGGAGGCCAAGGCACAGCCGAGACGACCTTCGCAGGGGGGGCGACAGGGGGGGCGAGATCATGATAGTGGCAGCCCTGGCGCGCCACATGTACAGTCGGGGCGCTGAAGAAGGAACCCTTTTCGTTGGGGAGGGGCTCGTTGACCCTTGATTGGTTTACATCGTGCCTTGGGTTTCCTGAGGTTTTCCATGGGAAATCGAAGTCAACTTATGAGACTAAGGGGCCTCGCTCCTTACTGAGGGTTCCTTAGTTCAAAGCCCCGGCTGTATTCGTGGTGTTGCCGGGGCCTGTTCGACAGTTCCTCGGCTTACTGGTCCCCTGCGACGGCTCAGCCCGCAGTGTGATAAGCCACAAGCAAGTCAGCAGCAATCGTGATGGCCTGATTGAGGATGGGTGGGGGTGGAGGGTTTCTCCGAAGGGCTTAGGTGATCCGTCTTCCTCCTCCTCCTCCTCCTTCTCCACCTCCTTGTCCTTCTCCTCCTCATCCTACTCCGCCTTCACCTCCTCCTCCTCCTCCTCCTTTTCCTCCTCCTCCTCCGTCTCCTTCTCCCCGTCCCCCTTCTCCACCTCCTCGTCCTCCTCCTCCTCCTCCTCCTCCTCGTCCTCCTCTCCTCCTCCTCCTCCTCCTCCCTCCTCCTCCTCCTCCCCCCTCCCCCTCCTCCTCCTCCTCCTCCTCCTCCTCCTCCTCCTCCTTTTGCTCCTCGCCTTCTCCTCCTCCTCCTCCTCCTCCTCCTCCTCCTCCTCTTCCTCCTCGTGTCGCCGACGGCCCCGGGGGGAAACCGCGCAGGTGGGGGTGGGGGGTGGATGAGAAGCAGTCATGCAAACTTGCGATCGGGGGCCGGTTTGCGGCCGATCTGGGTTCAACGGTGCCAAAACCGTGCCCAAGAGGATGTCCAGCCCCAGGGCGGTGCCTCTCTGCCCTCTGCATCCTCTTATCCCGGAGGCCTGCGGAGGCCTCAGAGAGGACCAGGAACGACGTCCGAGCTCCTCGATCCTCGTGCGTCCTTCCCTCCTCCTCGACCTCCTCCACCTCCTCCTCCTCCTCCTCCTCCTCCTCCATCTCCTCCTCCTGGGTCGCCTACGGCCCCGGGGGAAACCGCGCAGGTGGGGGTGGGGGGTGGTGGATGAGAAGCCGGTTTGGGGCCGGTCTGGGGCCGATTTGGGTTCAAAGATGCCGAAAACCATGCCGAGGATGTCCAGCCCCATGGCGGTGTCCTCTCCGCCCTCTGCACCCTCCTGTCCCGAAGGTCTGCAGAGGCCTCAGAGAGGACCAGAAACGACGTCCGGACTTCGCTCCTCGATCCTCGTGCGTCCTTCCCGCCTCCCCCCTCCTGTTCCACCTCCTTCTCCTCCTCCTCGTCCTCCTCCTCCTCCTCCTCCTCCTCCTCCTCCTCCTCCTCCTCCTCCTCCTCCTCCTCCTCCTCCTCCTCCTCCCCCTCCTCCCCCTCCTCCTCCTCCTCCTCCCCTCCTCCTCCTCCTCCTCCTCCTCCTTCTCCTCCTCCTCCTCCTCCTCCTCCTCCTCCTCCTCCTCCTCCTCCTCCTCCTCCTCCTCTCCCCCCATGATGTTTTCGAGCGCCTGGGCGAGCCTTCCTGTGTTCCCGTCAGGGGGCCTCGTTTTGGCTGGGCGCATCCTCCGGCAGGGCCCCAAGCAGAAGGTCGTGCCCGGTGCACGATCCGCTTCTCTTCCGGTTTGCAGTGCCTCTGGCTCTCTTCCGAGCAGTCGCACGCCACGGGATCTTCGGTGCTGCCTGCTGCTGCTGCTGGTGGTGCTGCTGCTGCAACTCCTCCCTCTCCTCCTCCTGGAGATCGGCGAAACGAGGGGAAACGCCACCCGCGGCCCTTGGTGTCCACCCCGGGCTGAAGGCAAGATTGGGGTGTCTCGGGGGGCGCGCCGCAGGAGCAAGGGGGCCATGCCTCGCCTTGTCCTGCTGCTCCTCCCTACCTTGGCGAGCGAACAGCACACACCCATACCGCAGGGGGGACGGGGAGGGCTGTGGGTGCGTGTTGTCGGGTGGGGGTTCCCGCTCGGACGGGAGCCACCCTTGGGGTCCGACAACCCGCACCCATACCCATAGCCAGTCCTCCTCCCTCGGACCCTCTGGGTATGGGTGCGTGTTGTTGGTTCGTCTTACTGTACTTTACATTCCGCGGACGATGATCGGATGATCGCAGCGTCTAGGCGGCAGAAGTGTAAAACAGAAACGCAGCCACCGACCTTGGCAGTGTGCCTCAGTACGGCTGCCAGCATGAGCTGGTAAAGGAGCGGTCAACATGCGGGGAACACCGTGTGGGCCTGTTGGGATCCAGAGTGGCCGAGCTGGCAGCCTGAGCTGGAGGAGGAGGAGGAGGAGGAGGAGGAGGAGGAGGAGCTGGAGGAGGAGGAGGAGGAGGAGGAGGAGGAGGATGAGCAGGAGGAGGAGATGGGGTAACACAGATCTGCCTCTCTCCCCAGACATTCGGCGTCTCCATTTTTTTGTTGAGACACGGGCCCCCGACCCCTCGACCCCCGAGCGGGCCTTCTCGCAAGCCCTCCGACCTCTCGACCTCTCCGAGGGGGGGACCGGCCTATGGACGACGGTGCCCCCTTTGAGATTGTCGCTCTCGGTCAGTCCTTTTCGAGTGTGGCTGGCCCGACTCGTTTTTGACGGTCTCGAGGCCTGGCAAGGGCCCCGAGAGGATCTATTGACAGGCTTTTTTGAAGCTGTCCCCGGAGACGAAACACCTCCCAGGAGGTCGGAGAGCCTCTGAGAAAGCCCGCCGCCTTCTGGGAGAGCCTTCTCCTCCTCCTCACTTCCCGCCCTCGCTCGCCGCCGATAGAGAGAGAGAGAGAGACAGAGAGAGAGAGAGCGAGAGCGAGAGCGAGAGCGAGAGCGAGAGTGAGAGAGCTACAGTGGAAGCCCGTGACAAGAAACACCCTGCTTGCCTCCAGGGTGCCTTGGGTTTCTTGAGCTTCGATGGTTTTTGCCCTGGAAAGCGCGACGTCCCCACTCCAGCAAGCAACAGGCGTCCTGGGGTTCCAGGCTTGGGCTTCTTGTGGAAGGTTCCTTTGTGGTCGGGCCCCTTCTGTAGAGATCAAGGGTCCCGAGGACACACACACACATACATACATACACGCAGATCCCAGGGTTTCCCATATTCCCCTATATGTTCTCGATGTTCGTCTTCCCCCCCCACTTTCCATATCTTCCCAGATTTTCCTGGCAGTCGACGATTACTTGTGTCTGCGTGTTTTTGCCCCTTCAGTAGCGAGAGCGGCGGGGAGGGCGGGCGAGGGCGGGGAGGCGCCAAGGGCAACGCCGAGCTGCTGCTCTGCTACGGCTTCGCCGCCGAGGGCAACCCGTGCGACAGCGTCCGCCTGCCCCTGCCGCCCGCCGCCGACGGCGCCGAGCGCCGCTGCCGCCGCCGCCGATCGCCGTCGCTCAGTGTCGTTTACAGTGGACCCGCAGAGTAAGGATAGACATCCATCCCAAGGGTATCCTTGCATCCTTGCTTCCTGGGTCCATCCGTGGTCACTTTCGTTGGCTGCGCCCCGCTCGAAAACTTCGAAATGGGCGTCCAAGGCCCTTGCATCCTTATCGCGCATCCTTACTCTACGGGTTGACTGTGTCGTTTAACCGATCCCCATCCCCATCCCCATCCCTTCGAGACCCCCACCAAATTGCCCCCCCCCCAGTTGGGGATGCACCCCTCGAAGCCCGGAGGGAACGGCCTATATCCCCACCATCGGTTAAACGATAGATGCTCAGTCGCCCGCAGCAGGGGGCTCGGGGAGCTGTGGCCGCCGCGAGGGTGCGAAGCTTTCTCGCGGCTTCGCGCTCCGCAGTCTGGCGCGATCTCTCGGCCGCGAGCGAACGGGGGGGGGGAAGCGAGGAGGAGACGGCCCCCTCTCGGCAGGCTCGGAAGCCCCCCGGCCTCCTGCGGAGTCTTCGAGGCTTGCCTTCCCCGAAGACACAGACAACTTCTCAGAATCAAGAGAGGAAAAACGGTCCTGCCCTGTTTGAGTCCTTCTTTGGGTGCGTTTACTACACGGCTTCGCGTGTCGGGGTGGTTCTTATCGGGGTGGATGTTCTGACCTCTACAGAAGGCGCGAGGGCCTCTGAGACGTCACCCGCCTCAGTCTGAGAAGGCCTCCTTCTCACGCCCCCTCCCTCGCTCCCCACCGAATCTCAGAGCGAGGCGCGGGCCCCGCATCCTGCTCCCGAGAGGGGGGCGGGGGGCGGCGCGACGGCGCGGAGATGATCACGCTCCGCGGAGCGCGGAGCGCACAGGTGGTTTCCCCAGGGGGGAGAAGCCCCAGGCACGCACACACACAGGAACATCGCACGCAGCCATGGGAAGACGTGGGAATCGGAGGGAAAGACCGATGTCAGGAAGATGTGCAGAAGTATCGGGAGCCCTGGGATTCGTGTATATTTATTTGTGTGACCCTGGGCCCGATCGATGAGGAGGGAGGAGGACGAGGAGGCAGGGGAGGATCAGATCCCAGGGAGCTCGCAGCAGACCACGGGCCAACGACACGGCTGGCTAAGGCACTCCTCCCAGTGGGTGCGGCCTACAACGGAAACTACTTACAGTGCTTCCTGAGAGACGATTTCTGCACAGTCTTGCCGACTTGGCATCCCGATCCTTCCGCTCTTGGGGGGGCTGGCCAGGACCGACCTGGCTTGGGATGCTTACGTTACAAAATTCGATTGTCATAGTTTCGGCCCAAGGGGTCGCCAGCTTTATCAGCCCCCCCGATTCTAGCAACGCCCCCCTCAGTGTGCAGGCAGGGGAGGATGAGGATGAGGGCGGAGGGAAGATGGGGATGAGGGGGATGTGGGGTAGGGATTGGGGATGTACGAGGATGGAAAGGATGAGGAGGTGGAGGAGAAGGACATTGAGGAGAATGAGGGAGGAGGAGTTGGAGCAGGACGGATGAAGACACGACGATCAGCGAGGAGCAGGAGGAGGGTGGATGATGGATGGTGAAGTATTTGAGGGGAGGTGAAGGAGGAAGAGGAGGAGACAGAAGAGGAGCATCTGGAGGAGGATAGGGAAGACAACGACGACGAGGTAGAGGGATGGCTTCAATGAGTGTCAGCTCTCATGGATGGACTCTTGCGCAGCGCAGCTCGTCGCCAGCCGTGGCATTTCGATGAGTTGTGACGAGACTCCGTGAGAGCAGCGAGGGGTCGTCGTGCACGGAGAAAGAGGATGCGCAGGAGAAAGAGAGAGAGGGGGTGCAGCAAAAGAGGATGCGAGTTGGGAGTTCTTTTGGGCCTCGACATGTCCGGACGTTGGCTGCGTTGATGGATCCCTTCGCCTTCATCCGTAGGCCCTCGTGAGGAGCAGGGTGGAGGGATCGGACTGCGAGTAGGACCTGCTGCAACCTGCGTTCCCCCTCCCGCATAACCGTCTCTGCCGCGAAGATGGCTCGCTGTGGGCGGACATGCCGTGTCCGCATACCCGAATGGTGGGGTTCTCGATATCTCGTGGCATGCCGACATGTTGCCTGGCCGCCCTTCTCACCACCCCACCCACCTGATATCGCGTAGTGCAGTCTTCTTTCGTCCCTTCGTCATGTCCTCGCATTCCATACCCAAGCACGCCATCGCATCTCGCATGCCAGACGCACACGACAGAGGGGGTGGGGCCTGGTGCCCCCGGCCCAGGGCCTCAACGGGCCACTGGTGGACCTGGGGCCCGGCCAGGCCTCCCTGAGCCAGGGGGCCGGCCAGGACGGCCCCGGGTGGCCTTCATCGGAGGTTGATGGACCTCCTGCCCTGACACGTCGATTAGCGAATTGGCCGTTTTTTGTTCGCGAGAGGGCGTCGCGGCCGTCACTTTTGCGGGTCCAGGTCCGTCGGTCTCGGTTCTCGGCCGTTTTCACTAAAGGGTGGTTTATTTCGAGGGAGGTTTGTCCACCGCCGACTTCAGAGGGCCCTGAAGATGCTTCCAGCGCACCCCGAGACGACCCAGAGCCTCGAGTCGGCCGAGGACGTGGCGACCCAGGAGCCGCCCAGGACGACCAAAGGGCGCCCGAAACGCATTCCCAAGGGGACCCCAGGCAAACGTGTTAGTGTTTGGATACTCGTCTTTTCGGCTTCTGGAGTGCCCCAGACAGCTCTTGAAGCTCCCGAGCTAGCTCCAGATGGCCCAAAGGCCTGTCCGATAACCCCAAGACGAACTCAAGACGGCCGAAGCTGGTCTCAAGCGGCACCCTGGAAGACCTCCCGAGCCTCCAAGACGGCCCAAGAGCTCCCACAGATGTCCCGAGATCTCCCCAGGATGTCCGCAGGGCATCCCAGATGGGTCGAACGCGACCCAGGAGCCGCCCAACTGGACCCCTAGGCCCCAAGCCTATCCGCCCCCCCCCCCTGGAGAAGTTCGGCAACTCGCCGCCCCATCGGCCCTTCAGCCCACCATCCTGGCGGCCCGCCCGCCCATCCATCTCCAGCCCCACCACCTCCTCGCCGCATGCTGCCAGGGGTGGCCGGGGCCCAAGGTGGGCCCCAGCTTGGGTGCCTGAAATTGGCACGGAGAGAACGGGTACGATGACAACCAACAGATGTAGCCCAACATTGGCAGCGGCCGTTGTTGGCCAGGCGGCCTGCTGTCTCAAATGGACACCGCCCGCGGCGCCGCCGACAGCGACCCCTGCTCAAAATGGGCAGGATTTGCTGCCCGTCTTCGTCTCACCATGCTTGCCGCACCCGTGTCACGGGAACGGCGCCCATGCACCGTGCCATGGTTGGACTCCCTTCATGCCTCGCTCCAGTGCGGCATGGTGCATCGTTTTGGTCGGCTCCGAGGGCCGCACACCTGTGCACCGCACCATCTCTAGGTCGAGGAGCGACGACGCCTCGCGGGGCGCCAACGCGGTACGGCGCCCGCTTCGATCCTACAAAGGCCCAGGGGCCCGCAGCGGCACGCGGGAAGCGTGGGGCACCCGGGGTCCGGGCCACCTAGCCGCGGCCACACGAGAAAGCCCCGCGCCCTGGTCTGCCGCCCCGCCTCCTCGTCCTCGCTCCGAGGCGGGATTAATACATGACCACCGCCTGGAGGATCAATCTTCGGGGGCCTCGGCAGGCGGTGGATGTGGATCTGTTCAGGCCCCGGGGGGGCCAAAGTAGATCCATGTCCACCGCCCGCTGGGGCACCAGGACGTCGGTTCCGGGGCGGTGGGTATGGGCAAATCCCCGCCTCGTCTTCGCCTCCTGCGGGCGGGCCCGCCGCTCAGGCGCCGGCGCGCGCGCCTCAGAGGTGGCCGAAGAATCAAAAGCTGCACGAGCATAAACAGGCCAGCCACAACTGGGGAAGCTGTGTTCCCTACCCCCCTGGGGGGCCCATCGATTTTGACACCCCTCTCGAGAGAGCGTCGAAGCGATGGGTTCCCTCAGGGGGGTAAAGACCACAGCTCCCCCAGTTATGGCTGGTCGGATGAACTTCCGACACTCCGCGCGGATCTCCTGGATTTGCACTGGGGACCCTCTGGCGGCGCCTCCGGCGGCTCCGCGCGCCAGGGAGGGGGGCCCAGCGCAGATCCGAGAAGTCCGTGCGGAGCGTCGAAAGTTTCTGTTTGTGCCCGTGGCTCCCTCTCAGGTGGTCCTGTCCACGGACGGCGTCCCCCAGGAGCTGATCGACTCCATCGAGGAGGAGCCCCCCCCTCTGCCTCCCAGCACCCCCAGGACATGGCACTCCTGGGATTAAATATTCGAACATTGTCAACCAAGTCAGGGAACGAGTTTTCTGCTGGCTCTGATTAGTTATTTTTTATTTTTCTGAATATTTCAACGGAGTTTTCGCCCAACATCCGCCTCTAGGAGGACACGCCCGACCTAGCATTGGCGGTGGTACAACTCCGTGGTCGAAGGCTGGCCCAGTGCCGCCTGATTTGGCCCAAGCCCGCTCCATCCCGCTCCCTCTGGCCTCACCGCCTCATCCTGGGCCTGATCTTAAGTCGGGCCTGTCCCTTTACAGGAGGGATCTCAAAAAATAGTAACAAATAGTCTGGGGACGATTTCTCGATTACTTTGAACTGCTATTGCATTTGTTTGCGTATTTCTAACTTTTCGTCCAAAATCCGCCTGTAGAGGGACACGCCCGACATAAGCCTGATCTGGCCTGGTCTGGCCTACAGAGCCCTCCATCGGGTTTCATGGCCCGCTGTCGATTCCCAGTACTTCCTCGGACGGGGCTAGGACGAGGATACATCCCTTTGGTGCGTTCCGGAGCGCTCTCAGAGCGTTCCAGAACTCCTCCTCCTCCTCCTCTTCCTCCTCCTCCTCCTCCTCCTCCTCCTTCTCCTTCTCCTCCTCCTCCTCCTCCCCACTCCTCCTCCTCCTTCCTCCTCCTCTCCTCCTCCTCCTCCTCCTCCTCCTCCTCCTCCTCCTCCTCCTCCTCCTCCTCCTCCCTCCTCCCACTCCTCCTCCTCCTCCTCCTCCTCCTCCTCCTCCTCCTCCTCCTCCTCGTGCGCTCCTCTGCCCTCCCTTTCTCCCCCGCGGCATCGAGGGGCCGCGGGCCCGATGCTCGGAGGGCGGCCTCGGGCTTCTCTCTCCGGGCCCCTGGGGGCGGGGGGAGCCCGCGCGGCCACGGCCGGATCCGCCACGGGGCCGTGGCCCGAGCTCCGAGGCTGGGATGTATACTCCGGATTTCTCTAAAAAGCGTGGGGGGATAAATCTCCCCCCGGCCTTGGGCCTCTCTCGGAGAGCCGTTTGAAGCTCTCTTGGGTCGTCTTGGAGGCCACGTGGGCCGACTCGGAGCACGTGCTGGGGGGCGTCTTGGTGCCCGCGGGGCCCCCTCAGGGGCCCTTTTGGCGGTTCGAGGCTCGTGTGGTCCCCCGTGCGACACTGAGGCACCAGTCTCCCCCCCTCCCGGGGCCCACTCTGGGTTTCTTAAGAAACGTGGTGGGGGGGGTACCCCTCCGACGGGGGTCAACCTCGCCTCGTCGTCGCGCCGCGACGGGAGTCGGAGCGCCTTTGGCGCGCGGTGGCTGCCCGCCCGCGACGGTGGTCGATGTTGGGCAGTCGGCGGGGGTGATCCCCCCGACGTTTATTAAGATTTCGGAGTACTTGGTTCGCCTTAAAAGCGTTTTTTTTTGTGTGTATATACATATATGTATAACAGAGTTTGCTACTTTGGGCTCTTGACAGGCTGAAGACATTACAACACACGCTACGTGCTCTAAGCGTTTTCAGGGCTGCTGCTTTTTTGTATTTGATTGTACTTTTGGTTCGCGTTTTCAGGCTGAAGACGCTAACACATCAGTCTGACAACGATAAGCAACGCATCACTTGTTTATCGTTTTTTGTGTTTCTTGTTGAGACCTGAAAACGCCCCAACAATGAATTCCAAGGCGCCGAGCTGTAATCGCAAACAAAAACGCCCTGGGCATATATGAGGCGAACCAAGTGTATCCATACAGGGGAAGCCCATGCCAACAAAAAAACCTGCTTGCCTCCAGGGTGCCCTGTGTTTCTTGGGCTTCGATGGTTTTGCCATGGAAGGCGCGACGTTCCCACACCAAAGATCAATGGACGTCCGGGGGTCTCAGGGTTGGTTTTCTTGTGGCAGGCTTCTTGTGGACTGGTCTCCACTGTATCCCGGATATGGACACGTGTCCCAGATATTCGGGCGGGTGGTGATGGGGGGTGGCCCAATGGGGGGGTGAAGAAAAATGCCCAAACGGGGCTCCTTTCTTCATTCCCCATGTGGGTCACCCACCATCCGCCCGAGATGTCCGAGGTCCAGGAACTTCGGCTTCCCCGGCGGCGTGCGCCGCCTGGGGCACTTCTGTTCCTGGACATCGGGAGGCGGTGGATGTGGATAGCTTCGCCTCCCCCTGGGGCCCAGCTGCATAGGCACACCCACCGGCCCCCCTGGGGTTCCAGGCGGTGTGTGCGGCAGGTTCGTGTTGTGTCGACGCGGCGACGATCCCGTCGCGCGAGCTGGCGATCGAAGGAGCGCGTGTCGTTCAAGGCTGCACGTTCCACGCGGTGTCAGAAGCCGAAACCATTGTCGGGGTCGTCACGACCCGATCTTGATGCATCCTCGACTGAGCGCGCCCCAGGTGCATGTCCCGGGAGTGGCCTCCCACCGAGCGACCAGGTGGCCCTTCAGGGTCTGGGCGGGGAGGCGCGTCTTGGACGCGGCCTCTCGGCATCGTGAGAGCGGCCGGTGTCCATGAAGACTCCAGGCCACAGTGTGGCCTGTGGAGGTTTGGTGCTCCGTCTCGTCGTCGTCGTGTCGCCTTCCTGACTTTCTCATCGGCGGCGAGCGAGGGGGCATGAAGTGAGAAGGAGAAGGCCTTCTCAGAAGGCGGTGGGACTTCTCAGAACCCCTTGCGCCTTCTGAGAAGTGCTCCGTGTCTTCGGGAAGGCTTAGAGAAGTTCTCAGAGTCCTTGGGGCCTTCCGAGCCTTCTGAGAAGGCGTTCTCCTTCGCATTTCCCCCCTAGGATGACCGCCGACATCAGCGATGGTGCGGGCGAGGGACCACCACCACCACCACCACCACCACCACCACCACCACCACCACCACCACCACCACCACCACCACCACCACCACCACCACCACCACCACCACCACCACCACCCCGAGTAAAATGCGGAGGGTGGCAGTGAAGACTTCGCCTGGTGGCTTCGCAGGGCATGCTGCATGCCCGCATCCTCAAGCTGGCAAGACCGGCACCCTCCCAGGCGGCAGCGGTGATCAGTATGCTTTGCCCGAAGCTTCCGCGGGGCATCCTGGGTGTCCGCATCCCGCAAGCCAGCAAATCCTGCGTCTCCCTCCAAGCCAGCCGAAGAGTTTGAGGAGGAGGAGCACGTGGGAAGGGGAGGAGGAGGAGGAGGAGGAGGAGGAGGAGTACGTAGAAACAGGAGGAGGAGGAGTACGTAGGAAGGGGAGGATGAGGAGGACGAAGAAGAAAGGGGAGGAGGAAAGAGGAAGAGGAGGAGGAGGGAGGAGGAGGAGGAGGAGGAGGAGGAGGATGAGGAACGACGAGAAGGGCCCCATCTGTTGGGCTGGCGCACCCCCTCTTCCCCTCGCCGTGCCCGGCCGCAGGTCCGTGGCTTGCCCCAGGAGGGGGCCTGGGGGTCGCTTGGGAGAGCTGCGAGGGCTGCGAGGGCCTTCCAGTTAGTGAGCCTCGGGCGAGTTGCTGGCACTCGCGAGGGTGCGGCGCGAGCGGTGCGGTGCGGCCTTCTAAGAGGGCGGGGGGGCTTCTTCAAGAAGGCAGGCGGCTTCTGCAGAACTCCTAAAGAGGCTTCTACATCCCTCGACAACGTGAAACTCAACAACGCCTTCGAGCCCCCCTTCAGTGTCGGCCGCTCCAATGTCGAAGGACGCCGACGCATGCTCTGGGGGGGTGCGACTCGGCAGTTCCATGCTGACCGACATTGGAGGGGGGGCGCCAACAATAGTTCGCACTCATTGACATCCAATCCCAGGCAATCACATGTACATGTACCGTACGTTCTTTGTCCGACGACTTGCGCGCTGGCCTCTGGCACCGCGTGGATCCTTCAATTTTGGACGGTAACAGCGTTTTGAGAATCCAGATCTTGCACGTCGTCCGACTCTGGACCACTGTCGTCGTCCAACCTTGAACGCCCGCGCTGGGGTCGCTGCCGCGTCGACGCGACGCAAACCTACCGTAAGATACGTGACGCATGTTTGAGTTTGACCTCGGCGAGGGCTGTAGGACACCTTCTCGCAAGTTGCCAGGCCCTTCTGAGGAGGCCCCCGCCTGCCTTCTCAGACGCACCCCGCCCCCTTAGAGAATCCCACCCCCCCATCGCGCCTCCCCCGTGTCATGTGGGCGCCGCCAAGCGACGGCAGGTCTCCCCCGAGCCTCCCCGCCCCGGGGTGAGCGCGCCGACCCCGGCGACGGCGACGCCGCCTCCGGCGGCGACGACGGCAACCGTGCCGGCACTGGCGGCGACGGCGACGGCATCGGCCTGGGCGACGGCGGCGGCGGCGGCGACGACAGCGACTCTCAAGCGACGGCAGCGGCAGCGGCGGCGGCGGCAGCGACGGCGACGAAGACGATGCCGACGACGGCGGCGTCGGCGGCGCTGTGGCGGCGCTGTGGCGGCGCTGGCGAAGTCGACGGCCACCCGCCCTCTGAGGAGGGTGAGACGGCGAGGTTGTGATGTTACCTAGTCATGTAGGAAGCATACCACCGTCAGTGGCCTGAGGCCCTGAAGTGGGCTCCCGTGGAAGGCCCAGCGAGCTCACAGAGAGGAAGTAGCCATCGGCTTCCCCTCTCTGATGGTCTAGGCCTCCTAGATGGGGTCGGAGTAGTTGGGGTCGGAAGATCGCGCCGATGCGCTCGATGCGGAGCCCGATTTCCTCCACGCCGACGTCGCCGATGCAACGCCCACGTCGACGATGTATCGCCGGTGCATCGCCGATGAATCGCCGATGCATCGCCGATGTATCGCCGATGTATCGGCGATGCGGCGCCACCCTCCGACCCCATCTATTCCGACCCCATCCAGGAGGCCTCTTAGATGGGCTCATTACACCCCTCCCACCCGCCCCCCAGGCGCAGGACACGGAGTGCTTCGTGGCGCTGTTGCGGGGCGCGCTGGCGCGCCAGCGGGCCACGCGCGCCTGCGCGGAGCAGCTGCCGCGCACCCTGAAGCCCGCCGTGGCTCGCGCCGTGCGCCGCCCGTCGAGAAGCCGCCGCAAGTTTGCGGCGGCGGAGCGCAGCGTGGGACGTGCCACCGTTCGCACAGCCAGCTGCGATGACACGATCCGCACAAGAGCAGCCCCTCTGCCGGTTCTCATACATACGTGCACACACACTATGTATATATATACACACATGCCATGCATACTCAGAGTTTCTGAATTAGCGTCAGGGGAGCACCACCCACTTCGACAGCCCAACATCGACCCCCGTCGCGGGCAGCTACCGCGCGCCGAAGGCGCTCCGACCCCCGTCGCGGCGCGACGACGAGGCGAGGCTGACCCCCGTCGGGGGGGTACTCCCCCACGCTTTCAGAAACCCAGAGAAGGCCCCAGGGGTGTGGGGTGAGGCTGGTGCCTCAGTGTTGCATGGGGGGCCACACGAGCCTAGACCCGCCAACAAGGCCCCTGAGGGGGCCCCGCGGGCACCAAGACGCCCCCAGCGCGCCTACCACTGCTTCGAGTCGGCCCACGTGGCCTCCAAGACGCCCCAAGAGCGCTTCAAACGGCTCTCCGAGAGAGGCTCGCGACGCATCCAAGACGGCCCAAGACGGCTCCAAACAATTGTTCCCCGGGAGAGCCCCAATAGGCAAAACAAAGTGATTCCCATT